CAGGAAAAAGGGGTTAACTGCATAAATGTCCACGAACTTGGGATCATTAATAACTCGATCACCAAATTTTATATTTTAGCGAGCTACAGTTACAATTCAGTATTTCGCTCGACATTGATGAATACGATAATGTCCAATACCTCATATTAACGAAAATTATACACCCTCTAATTAGCTGTTTGTTCAGGTAAGCAGGTAATCAAAATTGCTCAATGCAATACTGGGTGCAAACATAACGAGTTTCAAATGGAATGGATACGAGTTATACAAAGAAACCTCCATATAATTTAGCTAAAATAAATATGTCCTATTAAAATAACCGAACTGATAGTTTACGTTAATTGTTTCAAACGATAAAAGATAACTCGGTGATGTATTTGCTATTTTGCCCAACAGTCAGTGACCATTCATGTAATTGGCCAACCGACAGTCCCATCCCCTCCCAAATCCAATCTCTCTCTCTCTCTCTCTCTCTCTCTCTCTCTCTCTCTCGATTTTATGATACGGGTGATCACTTCTCACGAGGAATCTAATCTCTCATTGATCTGTTTTCAATATTCTCTCTCCACTCTCCTTCCCTCCCAAAAAAAAACCCCTAAAAATCTACGACTCAGATCTCATCACCACCGCTCCCAAATCTGAATCCCCACCGTCCATTTCCCCCAAACAAAATTTCTGTCCCCTCCTCTCCCCTGTACAGTCATCTCCTCCTCTCGCCAAAATTCCCCCATTCCCAATTCTCATCCAGATCTATCCAATTCCCAATCTCCCACGCACTTCCCCCTCTCATTCCCCATTCATCCTCCACCCACCGCCGGCGATGGTGGAACCGCAGTCATGGGCCACCCGGCGGATGAGCAATCCCAGGTTACTCGACTCCACCTCCACCACCGCCACCACCAACTCCTCCTCCGCCGCCTCCGTCCCGGCCGACGACCAGGTCCTCGACATCCCCGCCACGCCCCCGGGGGACGTCAGGGGAAACAATGCATACTACTACTCCACCTCCGCCGTCGGATCTTACTTCTCCCCCACCGTCCTCACCGCCTCAATCATCGCCTCCTGGTACTTCTCCAACATCGGCGTCCTCTTGCTCAACAAGTACCTACTCAGCTTCTACGGCTACCGCTACCCGATCTTCCTCACAATGCTCCACATGATCTCCTGCGCCGCCTACAGCCACATCGCCATCCGATTCCTCGAGGTCGTCCCCTTCCAGCAGATCCTCTCCCGCCGCCAGTTCCTCAAGATCTTCGCCCTCTCCGCAATCTTCTGCTTCTCCGTCGTCTGCGGGAACACCTCCCTCCGCTACCTCCCGGTCTCGTTCAATCAGGCAATTGGAGCGACGACGCCGTTCTTCACCGCGATTTTTGCGTTTTTAATTACTTGTAAGAAGGAATCGGCGGAGGTCTATTTGGCGCTGATGCCGGTGGTGTTTGGAATCGTGTTGGCGAGCAATAGCGAGCCGTTGTTCCATTTGTTCGGGTTTTTGGTCTGCGTCGGGTCGACTGCGGGTCGGGCGTTGAAATCGGTGGTACAGGGGATTCTGTTGACATCCGAAGCAGAGAAGCTTCACTCGATGAATCTGCTGCTGTACATGGCGCCGATGGCGGCGATGATTCTGCTTCCGTTCACGCTGTACATAGAGGGGAATGTGGCGGCGGCGACGGTGGAGCACGCGAGGAGGGATCCGTTCATTATTTTCCTGCTGGTGGGGAACGCGACGGTGGCGTATTTGGTGAACCTGACGAATTTTATGGTGACGAAGCACACGAGCGCGCTGACGCTGCAGGTGCTGGGGAACGCGAAGGCGGCCGTGGCGGCGGTGGTTTCGGTGCTGATATTCAGGAATCCGGTGACGGTGATGGGGATGGCGGGATTCGCCGTTACGATTATGGGCGTGGTGCTTTACAGCGAGGCCAAGAAGAGATGTAAGGTCACCACTCATTGATTGACGCAAGGAGGAAGAAAAAAATTATTTTCCTATTTTCTGGGGCAATAATTTGAATTTTGGTGGGGAGACGAAAAAGGAAAAGAAGAAAAAAAAGGGGGGGGGGGGGGGGGGGGGGGGAATTCGGAGAGACATTTAAAGGTGAAGATTCATTTTGATTGCCATTTGACAGCCCACAAACACCCAACTGGTAACTTACTGCGGCTCTTTTTCCCCATTTTCTTTTTATAAATCTTGCTTTTTATTTACAACTTATAAATTCCTGATAATTAGATATCGTGGGAATGGTTGAATGCCAAGATATAGACCAATGGAATTGTCAGCAATTGTATAGGATAATGAATTTATGTTCTTTTTTTTCCCCCTTTCTATTTGGAGCCTGAAGAATAACGAAATTTTTTATCTGAAATTCTTTCTGGCTTAACGGGGAAAAAAAACAAGAGGGAAATTGATATTTTCTCTATGGCATGTGCTCTGATAATAATTGTGCGGTTGGAGCTGTCGGTTGTATAGTTGATTACTTCTTTCGATCCATTTCCAGATCTAGTTAGGATTATGCTAATGATTTCTTTGTTTCGTCGTTTTTATTTGTGTGCTAATTAGTTGTTGTGATCAGATTTACCATGTGTTTTGTTAGCATGTTGATTAGAGATAGACGTCAACATGATTCAACTGATTTGTGATTTCGTCCATTTCATGTATCTATTATCGTCATTTATATGATTGTCATTATCAGAATTTTACGAGTAAACCGGTTTGATTGACGTGTGGTCTGATATTCGATAGGTTGCCTAGATGCATACCCCTGCCAGCACTTCAACCAAATTGAATAACAGCATAAAACATTCATCAGAGAAATCTAGCATTGAATTATAAACACGTAGGTGGAGTGGAAAGGAAGCAAAGCGATGAAAGTTGTGGTGTTGGGTTTCTTTTTCATGTTGGACCAAAATTGTGGTTGGTGTAGAACTCATCCCACCGTGGCGTCACTATCCATTTGCCGGAAAGGTTCCACTTTGTCGGTCCTCAACTCATTTGTTATTGTCTAATCAGGTGGATACAAGACTGAGGGTTTAATCATAATCATAGGTGTTAACAAACTAGTGATTACTTTTACTTAGCATTCGTTGCGTATACTCAACTCTCTCTCTCTCTGTTTCGATGGTGATGCTTTGGATGGAATGGATTAAACAAATCAAGTTCATAATTGTTTTTACCAAAACCCTACTTTTGTCTTCGCCGGGCTGCTACTGGCCGGTAGGGCCAAAAAACGTCACCTATAATGGTGAAATATTTTATTAATTAAAGTAGAACAAAATTACAAAGCAAAACAAGTAGATGACAATAACGAGTGACAGGAAGGAGAGGGCTCTGTCTGTGTGTGAGTTAGTTCTTCTTCATCATCTTGTAGCTGGTACCAGAATTTTGCTAAGTTGTTACCGTGCCTGCTGTAGCGAGACAACAACTGAAATCATATAGGTATTGTACAATCCAGCTATGATACTCACAATTTATTTGGTGAACCATTTTATAGGCGTACGATACTATTGAATCATCATGCATGTTTGCTTCGTGGTGATTAGATGGCAATCATGATAATTTTGTAAATAAAATGTCACTGAGTCTATCAAACAATCATGAAACGGCCACATGAGATCCAACTAGGGGTGTTTAAACGGAGTGTTTACCGTGGTAATCATTTTAACCGATAGTATTTGGATAATTTGGTTTGGTTTGGTTAAATTTTTTTTATCTTGTTTGGTTTGGTTTCAGACACTACTTACCAATCAAACCAAATTAACCAGTTAATTAATTAGGCATGTATATAATTTATATTATATACACATATTTGCATAACCACTCAAGAGCCAAACGTTCCTCCATTTTAGGCTCATTAAAAATAAAGTTCAATATTGTTCCTATACTGTGTATATATACATATATTTGTAGAGTGTAGACCATGATATATGAATGACTAATTTAGATAAAACTCATACACTATGTTAGATGAAAACTTGAAAATGAGGCATTTTTCAACCTATGATATTTGCTAAGAGACTAATAAATCAATTTATACAAACACAACGTACAATTCATTAACCCCATACAATTGACATATATTTTTGTTAGGTGAATAATTTTATTGATTATAAAATAATAGTATTAGTTGTTTGTATTTTATGTTAATGGTTAATTATAACTATGTGTTGATTGAATTGTTTTACTTATCATATAAATTGTGAATTGATGCATTAACCAAAAAAATTATCACTTACTGATTATGTGATGTTATATTGGTTAATCTGGTTAACCTATTAACCAAATCGATTAAACTTTAATTTAATTAATTTGAATTTTGTATTAATTTGAACAATTTGGTAATTAACATGATAACCATTTAAAAGTAAGATCCAACGACTCAGAAGGCATGTGAAATGATTCTGAGTTCCCACGTGTGGGGTGTCAACAGTCAGCACTATAATAGATTCCCCTCTGGCCTCTGCACGGATTAATTGCAATTAAAATATTTGGCAAGTTATAGTGGTGGTAGTTATTTCTGTTGATTCTTTAATCAGAATTGACCAAAGCTAGCAACTGGCTTAAGCCCAAAGCTGGAGCAGGTAGTTTGGTGTGGTGGCCTGTTTCATGTAGTTTGGTGAAGTCAGGAGTGAGTGGGTCACAGTCACAGAGAATGTCCAGCTTCCTTCATGATGTCAAACTATAATCAACCAATTTTCTGATTTTTCTACCAAAACTACATCCAGTTTTATGGGTAAGAAGTAAGAACGTATATATGAGCTTTAATTCTATGTAAGAAGTAAACATGGTAAACATGTTTAATTCTATGGGTAAGAAGTAAGAATCGTTATTCTAGAGAAATGCCAACAGGTAAACATGATAATTAACATCAACTTCTATTGATTAAAGCTAAACTTAAAAAATAATCATGACTTAGGATAATATTCTCTCACAAAACATAAACAACCCTACTGGTGCGAAAACATACCAAACATCAAATACACTCTTCTAAAAAAAAAATACATCAAATTCAGAAGAAGAGCATCCCAAGAGTGCCAACAAGAACAAGGGCAGCAAATCCAATGTTGACCATCGCGACCCCGGAGGAGGAATATCCCGCCGGCGGGGCAGATCCCTCGGAGACGGTGATGACCAGCTTCTGACCGGAGGCGCAGTGGCCGGAGACTCCGCAGATGTACCATTTCTTCCCCGCGGTTTTGAGCGGGATCTCGTCGCTCCCCGACGTAAGTGGCGGAGCAGCGGCCAGGGGCTTGGCGCAGTCCTGGAAATCTGTGCCATTTACCTTGAACACGTTGTGCTTTCCCGCTGGATAGTTGAAAACTGCAACACCCAAAAAAAAAAACAAATTAAACACGGTTCGCTAGTCACATGAGGAAATGTCCAATATTATATCAAGTCAAGTAGTAGAATTGTACAAATTGTGCACGTCTGATAAAAAGAACAATTTGCCCGTGAATCTCCAAAAGCTGCAAGAATTAAAGTAATACGGGGAAAAAAGTATTGTTGTACCTAGTGAGTCACCAACAAAGAAGGTCTTGCCCTCTGCCCAAGTAGCGTAATCAAAGTTGTTGGTCCAGCCTCTTTCGTCCCCCACTACGTACTGTTTCGCCGAAGCCTCTGCGGGAACATAAACTGCCGCAGCAACAGCCACTGCAATTATCAGCGCCACCATCCTCTTACTGCTAAAGCTCGCAAAAGTGCTACTGGCCATGGCTGGCTGGCTGGCTGCTTCTGACGATCAGCAATGTATTGTGTTATGTATATAGACTAATGGGATGCGCTTGCTCTTGTTGACTTGTTGTTATATATGGACTTGCCTCTTTATATATAGCAGTGTCCAGTGTGATTTTGCCGACTTATATTCTCTTCTGCCCGCAGCTCTGGTTGTAGTTATCGACCAGTTTTTGTGTTGTTTCCTTTTCTGTTGTTGTTCTTCTTCTTGTTGTTGTTGTTGCAGCTTCCGTCCGGCGATTGGCGGCAATTTACATGTGGTGCTTTATTGTGGGAACTTTTGCTTCATCATTTCTTTCTAAATATATGGTATTATTTCATTTGACGATGTCAATTATATTTCCGACTGTACGTATCAAGATAATGTGGTAGTTAGTTAATCGATAATCCTCTTTTTTCTTTAATTACATGACATATAAGTTCGATTCATCGGTCGTTATGATTAGTAGTACGTAATTCCGCCAAAAATAAATGTAAATAAATGAATGTAAAGTCATTTACAATGAATAGGAAGAACTCAACCCAAAATATTCTGGGTTGTGTTATTAATATTTCATTTACATTTTTAACAGGTTTTGTTTTGTTTTATGCTGATTTCACTCTTTCTGATTCCCGTTTTGTGTTGGTTTATAATAGCATGCCAAATGGGGCTTCTGAGGGATTTTTGTTTTGAATAAGTGGACTTCATAGTTCCTAGTTGATCATCTATTCTTTTGTACTTCACAAGTATATATATGGGTGTAATACTCGCGAAAATAATGTAATATCTCGCCAAGTAGAATTCAGGATTGTCATCCAATTTAGTTGTAAATTTACTATCATTGGATGTGAAAAAGTTTGGTGGCAAGTCGTTGAATTAGATAATAAATAGCATGAATATCATATAAGGGGTCTACTAGGTAGAACTGGAAATTATCCTGACCAGTCCCTAAATGGTCAAGATGTACGACTGATCCGACCCGCTAATATTTCCTTCTTGACCCTGTCTGGTCCTCTAGGGTCGGGACGGGTCAGTGGGTCAACCCTTATCAACAAACTAATTTTTTATAAATTAAATTTTGGTATCCAAAATTATTTTTCTTACAATTTAGTACCTAAACTTGTATTTTTTACAAATAAATCCTTCAATTTTGATGATAAACTACACTTTGGTACTCAGATTTATTTATTTTTACAATTTAGTACCTAAAATTTTACAAATAGGTCCAATGTGTTGGTATGTGGAATTTCATGCCTAAGGGTCACAGGGCCAAAAACTGACTCGACCCTACTCGAGTCAAAAGATGACCCGACCCTAAACTGACCCAGTCCAACCCTCAGGGTCGGGACGGGGCAGGTCAATGGATTTTTAGGGTTAAGTTTACACCCTACCACTAAGATGCGGCAGGGTGCACCGCAAGCCCATGTACACCCTTCTCAAAGGAATATCACTCACTTTCATTATCTAATAGTTAAACTGGATAGTGAAATTGAAGAAAAATAAAAATAGATAGACTTCAAAATACATTTAAGAAGCATCATAAATACATATGATTGTATCAATAATGAGTGTACAACTTGAGAGCTGATCATGATGTCCTTGAATCAAGCAGTTTGGGGTTTGATCCTTCTGAAAGGAATGCCATTCACTTTGATTAACATAATAGTTCAAGTGTATTGTGAAATTGACAAAAAATGAAAATAAATAGACTTCAAAATGTTAATTTTTTGGAGGTGAGTTAAAAATAAAATCAGTTGTCTTAAATTTTATTAAGGGCATTTGGTCTAGTGGTATGATTCTCGCTTTGGGTGCGAGAGGTCCCGAGTTCGATTCTCGGAATGCCCCTTTTTATAAACATCTTGCAATCCATAACTATTATTTTAATTTTGCTGGTAGAGAAGTCCTTATAAGAAATAGTTACCGATCCTTTCATCATTTTAATATGTTGGGGATGTAGCTCAAATGGTAGAGCGCCCGCTTTGCATGCGGGAGGTACAGGGTTCGATCCCCTGCATCTCCATTTTCAAGTATGTTGTTTTAATAAACTACAAAATTTTGATTTTACTTACGAATTCCCTAGTGATGACATCTTTTCACTTTTGGCTTAGCAAGGAAAAGTCTTCTAACATGGTTCGATCTCCTGCACTCCATTTTCAGTATGTTGTTTTAATAAACTACAAAATTTTGATTTTACTTACGAATTCCCTAGTGATGACATCTTTTCACTTTTGGCTTAGCAAGGAAAAGTCTTTTCAAGTATGTTGTTTTAATAAACTACAAAATTTTGATTTTACTTACGAATTCCCTAGTGATGACATCTTTTCACTTTTGGCTTAGCAAGGAAAAGTCTTCTAACATGGTTCGATCTCCTGCACTCCATTTTCAGTATGTTGTTTTAATAAACTACAAAATTTTGATTTTACTTACGAATTCCCTAGTGATGACATCTTTTCACTTTTGGCTTAGCAAGGAAAAGTCTTCTAACATGGTTCGATCCCCTGCATCTCCATTTTCAATATGTTGTTTTAATAAACTACAAAATTTTGATTTTACTTACGAATTCCCTAGTGATGACATCTTTTCACTTTTGGCTTAGCAAGGAAAAGTCTTCTAACATATATACAATAGACTGCTCATGGTGCAAGTATACTTTTATTTTAATGGATTAGGCGTCTTTATATTCACAATATTATATATAAACCGGAAAAAAATGTAATTATCCAGAGTTTTAATAAACTAAAAAAATTTGATTTTACTTACGAATTCCCTATTGACGACTTCTTTTCACTTTTGGCTTAGCATGGAAAAGTCTTCTAACATATATACAATAGACGGCTCATGGTGCAAGTATACTTTTATTTTAATGGATTAGGCGTCTTTATATTCACAATATTATATATATAAGCCGGAAAAAATGTAATTATCCAGAGCGGAAGCCAACGATGTGATCAAGTTTCATAGTGATAAAGTTAAATTCAAAAGAGAGAAATTTATAACAACCGAGATAACTAATAAAGAGGTTATTATTTTATTAAATTTGCTCATTTTTTACACTGACCCAAATCGGGATCGGAAAAATTATTAATTTATTGATTATTAATATAAAAAGGTTATACAGTATTTGAAAATTCAAAGTTTGAAATTGATAATCAACAATCACAAAGGAATAGTAAATAAGGGCATATACAGTATAGCAGCAATTAGCAAATGCACTTTCACCCGAAATAAATTTATTTTAAATAAAACATGAAAAATCAAAGCTTCAAAATGCAAAAAAAAAAAAAAAAAACATTGAATTAGACAATTAGCAGACCTTCTAAGGTCAAATTTCACAAATTCAAAATTCAATAACTCTATCGCTATTAGTCTCACTCCCAAACACACAACTCAATTTAAGATCACATGAACATCCCAAGAACGCCGACGACCACCATGGCAGCTGCAGCAAACCCAGCAGTACTGATGATGCTCCCAGAGGCGGCGCCGGTTGATGGCGAGGTCGGCGTCGGCGCCGGAGCGGCGGATCCGTCCAAGACGGTGATGACGAGCTTCTGACCGGAGGAGCAGTGGCCGGAGACGCCGCAGATGTACCATTTCCTCCCGGTGGTTTTGAGTGGGATCTCGTCGCTCCCGGTGGTAAGTGGAGCGCCAACAAGTGGCTTCGAGCACTGCATGAAATCTGTGCCGTTCACCTTGAACACGTTGTGGCTTCCTTGTGCGTAGTTGAACACTGCATCCATAGACAATAATATTTATGTCGTTTGTACACCCCAAACTAATAATTGTGAAATCTTTATGGAATTTATACCAGAAATATTAGTGGTATAATGTTTTATACTAAAATTGTAATTGAACAGTAGTTCATCACGTTTTGCAATGTAGTCAAAAGCGAGTTTCTACGTAGAAACGTTTTGGTGATCTAGAAGCGTAAAATTGTAAGTTTTTAAGTTTTAAAGCGCGATTTTGACTGCATTGCTGTTTTCTACTTCATAAACGGCATACCGTTTGACTTTTAATATTCAGTATTTTTATGAAAACAAATTACTACCGGTATCAGAATGGTAGAATTTCTAAAATATTTCAACCAAACTTTTTTTTGCTACGTACACGTAATTTATCCCCTTAACGAGTTATTATTACATGGAAAATTAAAAGATTACTTACCAAGGGAGTCGCCGACGAAGAATTGCTTGCCGGCGGTCCAAGTGGTGTAATCAAAATCCTTGGTCCAACCCTTGTCATCGCCCACCACGTATTGTTTCGCTGAAGCCATCGTGGGAGCAAAAACAGCCAAAGCGGCAACTGCGGCGATCAAGGACACCATCATCTTCTTGTTCTTGCTCGCAAACAAGGCCATGGCGACTATGAGCTAGCTAGCTAGCGGGATAAAACAAGCAAAGAGAGAGAGAGAAAAGATTGATAGATGTGTTGCTGTGGGAATGATGGACTTTGATTTAGAAAAGGCCTCGTTTTATAGCAGTTTGGTACTAGTGTTGATTTCATAATCTCTTAGGGTGCGTTTGGATAAGTGTATTTTAAATGTAAGGTATTTGAAATATTAGCATTTGAAATGGATGTATTTGAAGTATTAGCATTTGAAATACATGTAATTCAAATTCATTGTTTGGATACTCATTTGTAATTTGTTTGTATTTTTGTATTTATGATTTTCAATTTCAATTTTTAATTTTCTGGTCACTTACTACAAATTTTGGTAAATTACAGTTTGGTACCCAAAATTATTTTTTCTTACAATTTAGTACCTAAACTTTTAAAATTTAACAAAAAGGTCCTGAAATTTTGATGGTAAAATTACATTTTGGTACCTTTATATGTTTTGCCTCACACTATAGTACCTAAACTTTTCATATTTTACAAATAGGTCCATTCTTTTGTTAGGAGGTATTTCAAATCACTAGTTGTTGAAATGTATTTGAAGTTGACAAAAAATACACTAGACATGTATTTGGAAATCACCCCATGAATTTGATAAAAATCCAAATACCAAATGTAATTAATATCCAAACACATGATTTGGTATTTGAAAATCCAAATCACAAATACCAAATCCAAATCCTTGTATCCAAACGCACCCTTAATTAATTTCGCTTCGGAACTAGCTAATCTATCACACTTTGTGGAAATCATCAACAATCTAGCTAGCTAGGTGTGTAGATTCTGCCGGAACAGACAACAGGCGCATAGGGCGGCAACTGTTAGGAATTTTAACCTTTTATACATTTCTTTGATAATGTAACTAAGGCCAAGGAAATGATACCCTTCAGCCCAGAAACCCAACGACTGCGTCCTCCAAATAGCCAACGCGACGACGTTTCTTGGCTTTTATGTATACGTCGTTAGGCATCCATACAAAATAATTTGCATTGTGTGTGTCAACTTGAGAACACAATGCCATTTGTCTGGTGGTGAAGTGGGTGTTCAACTGCGCGAAGTAATACTCTTCGAAAATCTTCATTAAGTTTAGGGATGGCAATTTTGCCCATACCCATGGGTATTTTACTATTCAACCCAATTGGGTTGGGTATGAAATCCAAATATATGGATATGAGTAAAGTTTGATGGGTTTGTACCCAAATCCATTTACTTTGGGTTGGGTTGGGTTTATAACAAATGGATTTGGGTTTGTACCCATGCCCAAATACAAATTACAGTTTGGTACCTAAATTTAATAGATATGCATATTTAGTACCTAAATTTAATTTTTTTTGCATATAAGTCCTCAAAATATCGATGGAAAATTACGTTTTGGTACCTAAATTTTTTTGGTCTTACATTTTGGTACCTAAAATTTTCAAGTTTTACAAATAAGTCCAATTTTTGCATGTGTAGTTAAAACACCCTCAAGTAAATGGATATCCATATCCAACTCATACCCATTTAGATAATATCCATATCTAACCCAAACCCATATACAAACCCCAAACCCATACACACATCACCCAAACCCTACCCATAATAAATGGGTCTACTTGGGTTTGGGCAAAATTACCCATGGATGGGTAAATTGCCATCCCTAGTGAGTTACCTCGACCTCGAGTTTAAGAAATTTACTACGGCATACTGATCAGAGCAGGTGCAAACATTTTTTACCTCGTTGAAATATGAAGCAAATAGTCAATGTTTGATGAGATAGTGATATCAAACTCATTCTCCAATTTTTGGAGTCTCACCTTATTCATTTTGTCAAATATTATTGTAGAAAGTTCACAAGCTTCTTTCAACATATGTTTTAATTAATTAATTCCCTTGATGCAAACTAGAAATTGATCATTTGTTGTAATTACAAAGATGTACATAATTTAGTTTATTTTCTGCTGTCAGAACAGAAGCGTGCAAACGATAATCCAGATCAACGCGAACGAACACAAATTTAACGTGGTTCACTAACACAATGTGTGCTAGCTAGTCCACGGGCAGGGAGAACAAATTTCACTGATTTGAGGAGAGTACAAATTACAAACCAAATTCCGGACGAACAAAACAAACAAACAAACCTGCCTGACTGACCTTACTACAGACTAGGGTGATGAAGAGTATTTATAGAACTCTTCTCCTAATCCCAAACAAAAAACCAGACACCTTTTTCCCAAACATACAAGGAAAAGGTCAAACAAAGCCCAAACACAAACCCAAACAAAATAGGCCCAAAACACAAAACAAATCCAAATCAAATTCAAGTCATATTCTAACAATCTCCACCTTGACTTGAATTCTCTCTCAAATACCATATGTACCAGACGCAACCAAAGTTGCCAGGTGTACCAGACTCCTCCAAATCAGTTGTACCAGAATCTCCCCCGCCTCCAAATGCCCCTAAGGGCGGTCAACAACTCAAACCACTCGACAAGTCCAATCCATATTGAGACTTGTCATTCAGAACCAACTTGCTGCACTTATCACCAACAGAACATGTTAAAACAGAACCTTGTAGATTATACAAGGCACCACACTTGACACCTTTCAAAATCACCTTAGAACCCTTGTAGACAGACAACACTCCACCTTCACCTTTGAAGCTGAAACCCTTGCTGTCGAGTAGACTCAAAGATATCAGATTCTTAGTCATCTCTAGAATATGCCTAACATTGGTCAAGGTGCGAACAGAACCATCATGTGTCCTCATCCTAACGGAGCCTCTTCCAACAATCTTACAGATAGCACCATTGGCCATAGATACATGTCCTCCATCTATCTGCTCATAAGTTGAAAAACACTTCCTGCTTGGACACATATGATAATCAGCTGCAGTATCTAAATACCACACATCCTGATGATGTACCTGTTAATTCACTGCTAAGGCTAAACCATCTTCAGAATCAGAGTTAGTTCCTTCCGCCACAGCAGCAGATGATTCCTTCTTCTCCTGATATTTCTTCAGTTTAGGACAATCAAATTTCCAATGTTCTTTCTCCTTGCAGTAATGACAGATATCATCCTTCAAACCAGCAGAATTCGAATTTATATTCGCCTTCCTATTACCATATTGTTGTCTCCTACTACTCGTATCAGCCAACCCATATGTCTGATTTTCCGAACTTGAACCAGACGCCTTATTTCGGACTTCTCTAGTATGTAGAGCAGATTTGACATCTTCCAAAGACAAACTATCTTTCACAGCAATAAAAGAATCCACAAAATTCTCATATGACTGTGCCAAAGATACTAATAGAATTAAGGCAGCGTCCTCATCATCTACTTTAACATCAATATTCCGCAGATCTAACAAGATAGTATTGAGTTGATCTAGATGATTCCTGAGAGATGTACCTTCCTCCATGCGCAAACTGCACAAACGTTGCTTCATATGCAACTTGTTGGTTAAAGACTTTGTCATGTATAGACTTTCAAGCTTCAACCACAAACCCACGGCAATCTTCTCAGTAGCAACCTTAGTAATGATGTCATCAGCCAAACAAAGCAAGATTGTAGAGTGAGTTTTCTCCTCCAAAGTACTCCACTCTTCTTCATCTATACTTTCCTTCTTCGATTTTCCATACAACGGAGCCCACAAACCCTGTTGTTTCAACAGTGCTTGCATCTTGATCAGCCACAAACTGAAACTGTTTCTTCCGGTAAACTTCTCAATCTTCATACTGATAGCAGTCATTCTTACTATCAAACAAACTCCAACCAAACTTCTCACCAAACAAGCGAGACCAAAACACAACTACCCAAAGTCAACTCCAAAGCGATTGCTCCACCGAACCAAGCTAAATAATTGAAAGCTACCTCCACAAATTATATTAAGACTTCGATAAGTACATTTTTAAGTAAATGAAAAAACTGGAAAAATTAAGATCCCAAATATGAAGATTGAAGCATTGGAGCAAAAGAAGAGAAAATGGGGATCAATTACCAAATTTGGGGATGAATGTCCCTGCATTTGGGGTTTTGCATTGGACTTAGCCTTAGCCACCCCACAACTGCTTTACCCATTAATTAATCTCCTTTTCATTAATTGCTTCCTTTCTCTATTTTCTTTAATCTAAATAATTTTTCATCTTTATTTTTATTTCATGTTGTTGGGGGTATACGAATAAGGAGGCCTCGATGTATGGGTGAGGCCCAGTTAAGAGCACGAAGCCTAAGTAGTTCGGGGAAAGGTGAGCCCAGTCAATATGGGGTGGGCCATGATAGGCGCCTTCGGGCTTGGATCAAGGGCACGTTGGAAGTTGCATACACTAGGCGCCTAGGGGTACTCGCACCGGAGGGGCCTGGGTGTGCACGTGGGAATTGTGTATTTAGAGAGGGCGCCGGGAATCTCCTTTGGAGGAAGCGCCCCGGGTCACCCGCACTAAAGGTAGGGCTGACGTGGAAGTCCGTACGATAAGGTCCAGGTAAGCAATGATCGGCTATAAATAGCGAGGAGGGTAAGCATTTACTCAATTTGGCTTCTCTCACTAAAAATTGTGCATGACCAGCACTTCTCTCTCTAAGAAGGATACTGACTTGAGCGTTGGAGGACTAACGGGCCACAAGGCCCACCTCTGTGAGTGCAGGCTTCATTGGGAGAGAGTCAGCTGGTACGGAAGAAGAGACGGTAGATCGAGAGGGCATCAACAATTGGCGCGCCAGGTAGGGGAGAACACAACTTGAAAGCGCCTAGTTTCGATGGAGGGTGGAAGCGAGATGGAGGAGCAACACATGGAGGAGGCATCTCAAGAAGCAGGAGGAGGGACGCCCAGCATAGGGGAAGATGAGGGAAGTGAAGACCCGCGCCCGGATTCAGATGGGGCCTCGGTGACTAAGAAG